TTAAGGGGGACTGGATGATCACAATTTAGCAACTGTATAAAAAAGAAATCAGAAGTTTAAGGAGTCCGAAATGAAAAGTTTTTCCTTTCCTTTCCCCTTTCTTTGTTTTTCTCTTCCTTTCCTTTCCTTTCCCTTCCCTTCCCTTTCCCTTCCCTTCCCCTTCCTTCCTTCCTTCCTTCCTTCCTTCCTTCCTTCCTTCCTTCCTTCCTTCCTTCCTTCCTTCCTTCCTTCCTTCCTTTCTTATACTTACCTAACCAGTGTGTTTGCAGGCTCAATGTCAATACATTAGGCAGTCAGCCACCACAGTTTTAGCACAGTACAAACAGACATCAATGCTTCCACCATTCTCTACATCCCAAAACATAATAGGAATTTCTTCACTTTCCAATTACCCTAGAATAACCAGTGCTGGTTCCCAATAGCATCTTATTCTCCTAGCTGTTTCTGGCTATAAGTAAAGACATGTTATACTTACACTATTTATGGATTCAACCACTGCTAGTTTGGTCACATTGTCATCCCATTTTTCTCTAAGTCCACCAGTCTCTGGCATGATGCATTTCAACACATTCTTTGGTTTTGCAGCTAAAATTCCTTCTGCTCTGTATCTTTTGAGAGAAGGATTAAGATTGAGAGAAAGTCTTAGTGAATGAAGTAGAAGGGTGCTATTCAAGTCAAATTGCATTTTGGGCATCCTTAATACATGGAGCCAGTTAAGGTGTTGGCCTAGAAACTGGGAGACTGTGAGTTCTAGTGCCACTTTGGGTGCAAAAGCCACTGGCTGACTTTGGGCCACTCACTTTCTCTCAGCCCAACTTACTTCATAGGGTTGTTATGGGGAAAATAGAAGCAACAGAGTGATCAATACCTGACTCTGTTGTTACATCCTCTAACCCCCCCCCCACTCCTTTAACTTCAAACTATCCACAGTTGACCTCACCCCATTCCTAAGAGGTCTGTAAGGGGCCTGCATAAGTGCACAATCATGCCTCCCGTTCCTGTCCTTTTGTCCCCGTTTATTCGTACCTATTTCCTGTATTCTTACTCATGTTTATACTTATGTTTATTATCTTGTAAGCGACTGACAAATCAAATCAAATCAAATAAAAGAAGAAAGAATAGTAGGTACGTTCACCACCTAGAGTTGCATACAAAGTAACAAAAGTGGGATAAAACTCAAATAAATAAAAATGAGTGAACGTACCACTGCATGTAATACACTAGCGTGCCAATCATTTCTCTGCTTTTTAAATTGCAAGAAAAATGTGTTTCTTTCATACAGAACACTGAAGAAAGTAGCACCTCACCTAAGCAAAATGTTCAGTTACTTAAATAAATACACAATACAGTTCTGTATTTCATCATCATTAAGCTTTCTAGGGACTGGTGCATTTCTATATCTTTGGGACAAGTCATGCTTTATAAGATCAGCTATTTATAACTGTATGAGGCAGCAAATCAGTTTGCAGCATACCTTACGTTACACAATATTCTTCTTTGTCATGAAGTTTAGAACTTTCTTCTCCAAAGGAAAAAATAATAACAAAAAACTATGATTGGTATGTATGGAAAGCTTATTTACTTGCTTAGAAGTTTCTTTTCTTCTCTTCCATTACTGGAACTTCTCCTTTTTGTGCTTCATCTACCAGCTATTGACTATGTTATTCACATTTTAAAAGCACAGAACTAAAATTAGCAATAAATAAGACAGAAGTGGCATCTCAAATATCAATTTACCTAAATGTTGTTTTGCTTCTGTGATTTTACTTACAGGTTTCCACGAAATACATTGGAAGGCCTCCAAGATATTGTGATGTTATTCTAGAAAGACATTTTAAAAAAATCAGATACAACCAGCTGCACTATTGTTGCATGCCGAAACTGAATTTTATTCAACTTCAATGGTTTTTGCTTAAGTTATGAATACATTTAAGGAAGTAATGCTAAGAGACTTAAACAACACCCATCACCCACAAGGCTTGTCTCGTGTCAAGTAAAAATATATGTATTTGCTTAAAACAGCTAGATTTTTCATTAGCCATAATTAACTTTTCTCACTGCTTTCAATAGACCGTCTTTAAACATGAGTAATTCTGGATTTGGTTAAAGTGTTTCTGTTTCAACCAAAAGGCTCTGTGGAGCTAATCCTCAATTTATGTCCACAATTGATCCCAACATTTCCATTGCTAAGCAAGACATTTGTTAAGTAAGTTTTGCCCCATTTTATGACTTTTCTTGCCACAATTGTTAAGTGAATCACTGCAGTTGTTGAGTTAGTTACACCGTTGTGAAATGAATCTGGCTTCCCCATTAACATCAGAAAGTTGCAAAAGATGGATATCACATGACCCCCAGGACGTTTCAACTGTTATAAATACATGCCAGTTTCCGAGCGTCTGAATTTTGATTATGTGACCATGGGGATGCTACAATAGCTGTTAAAGTGTGAAAATCAATCATAAAAATAACTTTTTTCAGCGCTGTTGTAAATGTCAAATGGTCACTGAATGAAGGCTGTTAAGAGAGAATTACCTGTATCTTTTTGAACTATTTGTGGACTGTAATACAAAATAGTGACACAGCTCGGGGCAGTCATGCTGTCTTAGCCCAAGATAACTCACAGGGCTATTGTGTGGAAAATAGGAGGAGGAAGGAGGAGGAAGGAGTGAATTTGACACCTCTAATTACTTACAGAGCGATAAAGATAGGATAAAAATCTAAAATAATCATAATAATAACAAGAGGAGGAGGAGGAGCAGAGAAAGAGGAAGAAGGAAGAAGGAAGAAGGAAGAAGGAGAAGAAAAGAAGAACAACAACTCAAGTTTTAATTCAGTCTTAGTCCCTAAAGCAGCTAGGTGATGTTGGGCCAGTCCCTCTCTATCGGCCCTAGAAAGGAGGCAATGGCAAGCTACCGCCAGAAAAAACCTTGCCAAGAAAACTGGAGGGAGTATTCCAGGCATTTGCCAGGAGTCAAAAACTGACTTGGGCACTCAGGCACAAACCAAGTAAAAAAAACCACAATAAATAATAACTCCTATAAGTCATTTTGATGGCCTGTGGGTGTTTTTCAAAGACTATAAAGAGCAAGAAAGTGGGAGGGTTATTGCAACTCCACAAAGTCCAATTGTGACTATTCCTAGAAAAAAGTAGCATTGAAATGGTGACTTTTAATCAGAAATAACATAATGCATTTCAGGCAAACTAACTCCCCAAACGGGGGAGCTCTTTGTTAAACGGCAATCTAGATTCTAGACTCTTGAAAGTGAATGGAACTCCAGCCGGCTAGATTTCACCTTTCAAATCGGACGGGGAAATATATTCCCAGCAGAAAAGGCGATGCTGCGGAAGCCAGAGGGGATCGCTGGATCCCTTCAGATCGCGGGGGGGGGGGGGGGGGGGTGTAAGCGGAAGTTTTTTGTTTTAAACTTCTCCCCTAAGCGAAAACAGGTTCTCCCCGCCGATTAAAAATCTACAAAACCAGAAGAGGAAAAGCTGGTTTTCAGCTTCCAGGGAGATGGCATTGCTTTGGAGAGCGAGGTAGGCGGGCGGCACATAAAATGAATAATCTTTAATAATAAATTAATAAAGTGTGATCTTTGCGGGCTGGAGCGCTTTCCGCCACGGATCTCCTCTTGCGGTCCTGAGCGTTATCGCCAGCGGCGGATCTCCCCCTTCTTCCCAAGGAGAAAGGAGCGCGTTGCTTCAGCTCCTCAAGAGGAAAATCGGTGGTCGCGATCGCTCCCCACCGGCTTACCGATCGCTTACAGCCGCTCCAGCCGCTGGGATCTTTCCGGTAGCTCTCCAAGTGCTGGGCGGCCCATTGAGCAGCCTGCTGGTACTCCATGGCGAGAGACGGTGACGCGTTCCCGGCTGGACTGGGAATGGCTGGCCCGACGGTGGAGGAGGATCAGGAAGAAGAGACGGGGAAAAATCTGCTAAGGCCAGCCCAGAAAAGGGGCCAGCCTCCCTTTGGAGCCGCCGCGCCATCCTCGCTCGGAGGAATCAGCGCGGCGCCGCCTCCCGCTTCTCCCAACGCGCGCCGCTCGGGAAAGGATCGTGAGGACGCAGGATTCGGGTTGGGATGAATAGCCCGACCCCAAGGACGAGAACTCTCTGCCTACCAGTTGCGCTGGTGGAAGCAGAGGCTGTTTTACACCCCGCCGTCAACTTGGTGTTTTGGGTGGCTCCTCCTGGGGCTATGGATGGATGGAGCAGGACGGAGTCCGTGTGTTTTCCTCAGATTTTGGTTTCACAACAACTTTGCAGGGTGGGATAGGGTAGAGGCGAAGAGGCTTTTGGGGAAAGTGCAAAGAAGAGCAACTAGGGTGATTAAAAGCCTGCAGGCAAAAACATATGAAGAAGGATTTGGATTTGGACATATGAAGAAGGATGATTTGGATTTGGCTAGTCTAGAGCAGGGGTCTCCAACCTTGGCAACTTGAAGCCTGGAGGACTTCAACTCCCAGAATTCCCCAGCTGGTCTAGAGAAAAAATGGACCAGGAGTGACAGAATAACGGTGTTCCAATGTGACTTTGAGCCAGTCACTTTCTTTCAGCCCACCCCACCTCACAGGGTTGTTGTGGAGAAAATAGGAGGAAGGAATATTAGGTTCGTTCATACTGCCTTGAGTTACTTACAAAGTAATAAAGTCAGGATAAAAATCTAATCAATAAATCAATCAAAGTTGATTATTCAACCATATGCAAACTGTTTATTTAACAACTGGACTGAGCAGAATAATTGAACTGGCAGGTTTAACTGGCGAGTTGGCCTGATGATGTCAGAATCCATTACTTAAATACACTGAGATTCATAGTGTGGGATCTGCTTCTTCTCTATGCTTGTTAAAGATGATTTTAAATGGTCATTTATTGCAGTATAATGATAGAGCGAGGATAATTCAGCCAAGAATAAGCAAATAGGAAGAACGTTACTAGAATGGGGCTAATGCAACATTCACCCCTTACACAAAGCAGAAGCATTTTGGATTTAGGGGTGCCTGACAGAGCTCTGAGGGTACCTCAAGTTTACAGTTCTCAAAGGTTGCAGCCTTTTCTCCCCACTTTAGACACTGGAGCATATCAGGTCATTCATTTCGGCCAGGTTCAACTCCATGCCGGAGGTTGTCTTTTGTGGGGTTCCTTTCGCTCCTGGTTTCAGATATTTCTCCTTGCTGGGAATGACTTGGATGTACTGATCGTTGCCACTGGTGGGCTGATCGCTGCTCGATTCAGGAGAAATGGAATCGGACTCGGTGGGAGAAGGAACCGGTTTTGGCTTGGGCTTGACTTTGCCAGGGTGTTCTGAATAATGCTGGTCAAATTCAATATTCTTCAGGTGTATCTTTCTGTGAGGATGGGGTCCTCTGCCGTAAGTCAACCCAAAGCCATCTTCCCAAGACTTGTAGTGCATTTTCGCCAGAGACCTGCTCGGCAGAACTTGGTTGTCGGTCCACTCCCCAACGTAGAAGCGAGGAGGGGCTCGGAGGTCCGACAGGGACCGTGGGCGGTGAGTCTGCTTAGCGACCCCTCTTCCGTACTCTTCCTCCTCCTCCTCAGTGTAATGAGGTGAGTAGGCCCTGCGGGGCGTTCGAACCACGTACCTTCTGATGTGACGTGGATACAACTCCACAAAGTCAGTTGCCTCGTCTAGCCGGACGTTCCTTGGCAGCCGAGTTGTGGCACGGAGGATTTTTTTGCGGGGCTGGTGCTCGTTGACAATGTAGTACTTGGCTGTGTGAGCTCTGCGGCCCACAAAAGTGGGAGGCCCAGGGGGGCCGTGAGGCTCCAGCTTCATTTGTGGGAGGTTCTTTCTGAACAAGAGTTCTGAATCTTCCATGGGCTTCTTCACCTTTACAGGAGTATAGACTTTGGCTTTGCAGAGTTCACTAGCACTCCCGTGGATCGTGTTCGGGTATCTAAGAAAGGAAGAGAGGGAAAGGGTGGCTAAGTGGTTTGGTCTGGTGGTTAAGACCCCAGGATGGAAAGCAGGACACCGTGAGTTCTAGTCCCACCTTAGGCATGAAGCCA